AGATATGATGTCTACTCGTGTTTAGCAACGTTTGTGTGAATAATGTACTATTACTTATCTTATGTATAAAAAAGGAGAGTTACTGAAACACAAGTGTAGGCCTATCACATGGAATAAAATAAAGATATTTCACCAAAATGTAAAATTTGTCATGTTCTTGTTGGTATTAAAAAAAAAAACTAAACAGCTGTCATAACCAGTAAACTACTGGTCATAACCAGCTTTATTATTTCCTGGCTTCTGTTCCCAAGAACAAATTGCGGCACCTGAACTGAATGTGAAAAACCTGTCCTGTGTGGGTGTGTGACTGAAACCACTCATTATGTCAATGGTATGAAGTTTTACAACAGAGGGGAGTGGCTAAATACCAACATGAACTTGCTTTAATTCTTCTGAATAAATTTGAAGTGTGTGTTTTTCAGAATCAGTACACCAACACAGGAACCAGTGGACAGCCATTCAGTTTAATGTCATTGTTTATACTTTAAATTCAATGGAGGACTCATCTCAATTCAGATCAGGATTCTCATTTACTCTGATACCCTAAAATAAAACTGGCTTCAAAGGTGACCTAATTACGACCCATGTTCACTACGACATAAACCAGGAGTGTCAAAATTATTTCCATTTCCGGTAGGGCTACAACAATCAATAGTGACTAATCAATCATCAGCTAATTTAGTTAATCTTTTATTAATTAAACAGTATCCTGTCAAGTACCTTTGGTTATCCAATTATTAATTAACTGATTTTAAAAAAGTCACCATGTTAAGCACATGCTGACTTAACACTGATGAAATGTTAATTTAAGCTACAAATGATCAAGCATTCACTAAAGAAAAGCTGTTATTGCATTTTTAGCATTAGAATGTTTCATTTCAAAATTAATTATATGCATCTTTTAGTAGAGCTCTAATATTGTATCATTATCTCACTTAAATATTGTCACGGCCTTCTATTTTCCAAAAAAATCTAAATTTCCATTCAAGGCTGTGGGTGTTAAGAGGCAGTGATTTGAACGCACTTCTTCAATGTTTGTAAAAAATATAATTTATTTCTTGGAAAAAATAGTGACAAAAAAGTACATAATTAAAGTGTCTTAAAACGTAGTCAAAATGAAAAATACTCTTAAAAAGGTGTCCAACAAAATGCTCCAGAAAAGTGATCAAAAAATCATTTTACAACCTCCCCTCAACACACCAGACATTTACCAAACAAATTTTCTCTCGCACCAAACAAATTAATGGGAGGGTCTAACAATTAACATAGTCTTACTCTAAACAATTCCAAATGCAGAAGATATTACAAATGTCAATTCTAAATCAACTTACATATATTCTAACTACCCAAAAAAGAAAACTAAATTGTTACAAATTAGAATTCACAAAATTTAACATAAATGGCCACGACAAATATCGTAAGTATAAGTAAATAAGAGCTAAAAAATTCCATCTGGACAGTTTTTGGAAATAAGTTTATGTTTTTTTTCCTTTGGTACCTAAACTGGTTCTCACCTAACAAGCTCAATGAATCCCAACCCGTTACGTAGCAACCCAAGCTGAGATTTGCCTGTTCCCCAGAAACCCACCCTGACTTCCAGCGCTGGTGAACTGGTTTTACTGCCGTATGGGCTGTACAATGGCTGCTGGAAAAGACAGGTGCTTTGATGTTAACTTATTATTCAGAACCACCTTCTGTTTTCTTTTTGGTTGTGGAGGAGGCTCTACTAATGCTTTTCACAGATGGAAATTGTACAACTGTGCATCAGTTTGAAGCCATTTTCACATGCGAGTGTAAACGTTGAGTTGGTCGGCGTGGCCAGCAGCGGATTTAAATCAATCAATCAAATTTTATTTGTATAGCACATTTCAGCAAGGCATTTCAAAGTGCTTTACATCATAAACACAAGAACACAAAATCATGCAACATATAATAGACAATACATTGTTACATATTACATTTCAAAAACAATTCTAAACAGGTGTGTTTTTAATTGCGATTAGACAAGACGCCCTAAAAACAGTTCATTCTGAAATGAGCTCAAAACAGCCAGAACTGAGCAAACTAAAATCAAATTTTCTGATGTAATGGACTTGTTTTGTATGGCCTGTAGACCTATTCTGACCTCCTTTGCATCTTATAGGTGTGCCTCAAGAAAGCACACCTAGAAGATGCAAAGGGAGGTTTTCCTCAAATGATTGGAAAATCAAGGATTCTTATGTGTGATTCAACAATATGCTGAGTCACCATTCCACACCACCTAAATCAGGTGATCATTTCCACAACCGCGTGTGGATAAAATGCAGCTCCTTGACATTCTGACTTCTACAAACATTTGTGAAAGAATGGGTTGTTCTCAGAGCTGTGTGGAAGCGTGGGACCGTGACGATGTGCAATGCAGCTGAAAGCAAGACTATTAGTCATGAACTCCACTAATCTGGCCGTTATAGAGGAGAGGTAAGAAGGAAGCATGTTTGCAGTTTGCACACAAACCATGGAGGAAAAAGGTCAAAATCAACCATGTTTCATTTCCATAATGAAAGACGGTTTAGTTTAATTCAGATCCGCATTTAGCTGAAGCAATGCGCCCGCTGTTCTGATAGGGTGAAGGTGTTGTCCACACATTGTGTGATTTACGTCACTAGAACAGTTTTTACAAATGAAATAAATGTAAAACAAGACATGGAAGAAAATGTGGCAGAACATATGTAACTTTAGGCTGAATGCATAATTGACTGTAGTGTTATATTCAAATCACAACCAGAAATTTACATTGTTTGCACTTTTACAGAAATATTGTTTAATCTTTCCCTTAATTTTTTTTACTATCATTAAAGTCCACAGTTGAATAGCACATTTCCTTTCAGTACATTAGTTCTAACTTTTGGGAAATGTTTAATAGCATGCCTTGCAAAATGAAAATGTGAATTTTGGCTAAACAATATAATCTGAAATAAAATCACACATTATATTTAATTTATTTTTGAAAAACACATAGTGAGTAGTTTAATCTATGGAAAGTCATCTTAAAATGTGCATTTTTCTAAGAGTAATGACAACAAAGGTGTCAGAATCAAGCTGGAGATGCTTTTAGTTACTTTATAAGCTGATGTGTGTACCTGTATCAAAAGAAGAAATGGGTAAATTATCTTGTGAGCTTGCAGTCAGCTGACGCATATAAAAGGCTCAGGTTCTCCAGAGTCTTTAGAGACTGTCAACAACTGAAGCCATGATTTACCATCTGTTAGAATAACTCTTAAGCAGCCAGAGAAAAGTTGTTCAGATTAGTAATTTGGGAGTTTTTCTGATTCATTGTACAACAGAAGACAGAGGAATGACCTTGCTTTATTTACAGTTCCAGCCCAATTTACACAATAAAAACAGATTTTGCAGGAATGTCAATTATAAGTCAATAAAATACAACAAAAATAACTAACCCAACATTATATCCACCAGAGGTTCTATTCTATAGAATTAACTCCTTTATTTTGATTAAAATGTAACTGAATATGTTGCTTCAGTCAGCTGATATTTTCATTTCATGTGCTGACATGTTTATAGAGGAACATTTGGAACTGGGAAGAACTTAAAAAGTTCTTGTGCAGAAGAAATCAAGTTGCTGATCTTTTTCACCCAGAGGAAGTTTTTGCCTCAGGGTAAACGGCAGATATTGGCAGGCAGGAGGAAAACGTTTACATGACACAACATTAAAATTAATTAAATAAATCCATTGCCCTTTGATGAAGCTGCACAACATATATCAAATTGCATCGCAGTGTCAATAATATTGTAATCAGAAAATAATGTTTAGATGCGGTGCATCATATTTCATGAATCATGCATTAATGATGGTTATAAACTCGGCCAGCTGGACCGACTCTGTCCTCACTGTCTACAGTCAGAATGTTGTTGTGGGGACTTTGCTTAATGCTAAACAAAGAAAAGAGTCAGACAAATGTGGGTCAGTTGTAATAAATATCATTATTGCAGCTGTAGTAGTTCAGTTATTTATCTTCCTGAAATCAGGCAGTTTTACTATTTACGTAACGTTTCTTTTAAACAGACAACAGATAGAAGAAAATATAAAGATGATTGGTTCTACTGCTGTAGTTATGAAAGTATTTATATTAATCAAATGTATCTTGTATTGACTGCTCTAACTTGTAGGTTTAAAATATTTGAATAATGTTTATTCTGACTTGGAAATAATAAGTATGCTCCTAATCTTAGTGGAGGAGTGTAAAACCTTGACGCTTAATAACCTTGACAAAAATGATAAACAGCTAATATTTTTAAATACAGATAAAATAATACTTAGAAGTTTTTCCTGGAATAATTGCATTGAATTTCCATAATAAAACATCACTAAAAGTACCAGGAAAAGTTTTTTAGATTTATTTTTCTTATCCCTTGGTTGGAAATTAACTACTTTTTTCCGTCCCTTTTTTTATTCCAAAAACCTAAAAATAGATATAAATGTGTTTTTGTTAAACAATAACAAATTACTACAGTAGATATTTATCACAAAAATTAAGTCGGCTCTAAATGAGGTTTTTTAGCCAAACTGGAGGGGAAAATAAGTCTTTATAACACAATCCTGGTGTTATTACAGCTTATTAGACTTTAATTATGCCTGATTTGATTTGTGAAAATATAATTTAAAGACACTTCCTTTGATTTACTGGTTGGTTCTAACAGTTTGTTTTTTCAGTGTACGCCTACCTTTTTAAAAAGTCGTGATGTGGCTACATCAACCTTGAGTAATCCTCACACACCCACTGTGTAAAGCCTCCCACAATTAAAGAATCCAGCTCTTAGTTTCTCCCCCCTGCAGAAAATCTCTTTTATTGTTTAACTAATGGCGCCTGTTGCCACTTTGCTTAGACCTGTGTATTAGGGCGGGGCCTGGCCCTTTTTCTCTCCTTTTACGCACACCTGGATTCCGGAAGCGCGCTCGCGTCAGAGGGAGAGGCTGTCATTGTTCAGAGGAATGGCTCAGGAATCCTGCCCGACTCGATCGGTGCCTATAAATCCATCAAGGCAGAGACAGGCAGCCGCAGAGCAACCCTGACCGACTGGCGAAGGATCTCTTACTGGACTGAACGGAGCTGAGATTTACTTTATTATAAAATGAGTATTTTACCCAAGGAGGAGGCATTTGAGGACTTCAAGAGGCAATGTTTGGCCTCCGAGAACTGGCTGAGTAAATATGACAGTAATGGAAAGCAAGTTTGGATCGAAGTTCTTCCAGACAGGGGGATCAACTCACCCAAAGTCCATAAAATCAAGGTAAGTTACTTTAAATGCTGATTACCTGTTGCTCCTTTTTAAGCCAGATTGTTAGCTAATGCGCCCCAGTGGTTCTCAAATCAGCAAACTTTTGAGATCCTCTTCAGAAATGAAGTGCACTGCAAAAATGGGCAGCAGTGAATAAAAAACATGGTCCAGTGTCCAGGAGCTCTACTGACACTTTGCCAGAAGCTTTTCTAAAATGCATCTGTAATTGTCATGAAACTCACCTGGCGTTTCCATGGGACTTATTACTACTTTTCAGCATCCTAAATTACAGGTAAGTTTAATAATAGCTGCAAAGAAATGATAGGTATGTAGCAGATAAGCTCAACGTGAGATCAGTTTAAGTTCATGTAAGTTCCAGGAAAGCTGCTTGCTGTTTACATGAAAGGTACAGAAAACTTCCAAGAATTTATCTTGATAAAAAACAAGCAAGATTTTTGAGCATGTCATGCAAGTTCCACAAAAGCGTCTTCAAGTTGCAGAACGTAACCTCTAGAGTTTCATTAAAACACAAGCCGTAATATGCAATGCAATAGATAAGAGAACAGACACATTTATGGCACAAAAAGATGTCTTTACTAGTTTATTGATTTATTAGTAATGTTTACTCTGCTTCTTTGTGAGGTGGAAGATGAAAAGATTAGAAAGATGTTTCATAGTATACGTTTTAATAAATGCCGTTCCCGTTTCAGTGTAGAATAAACATCGATGATGTGCCGGCTGCCACCATGTACGACGTTATTCATGACGGTCAGTACCGTAAGGAATGGGACACCAACATGATAGAGAGTTACGACATCGGCCGGCTCTCTGGCAACGCGGATGTGGGCTACTACTCATGTGAGTACTCCTTGCTGTTCGTTTAACGTGAAGGCTTTGCTTTACAGTTTTACAATTTCTTGATTTCCTTAGTTAAAACCACCACTTGTAGCCTCCTGTGTGAGACATCGCCACTGCGTTTCCTCTTTCCACAAACCTGTTGCTCCTGTTCAGACTTTCCCATGAAGACTGACTGAGTGGCTTCTTGTCTCACCAGCCTATTTATTGTCACAACACATGAAAGCGAAAAACTAATGATAAATATTATGTTTTTACTTTTTCGCCTCCATATGCAGGGCGCTGTCCAAAGCCGATAAAGAACAGAGACGTGGTGACTCTGCGTTCATGGCAGGTGAAGGGGGATGAGTACATTGTTATGAACTTCTCTGTCAAACACCCGGTATGCATCTTCCTCCAAACAACTTAATCTAATGTCACACATCTGTTTTTCTCACTATTTTTGCAACTTTGTGTGTCTTGCTTGCAGGACTTCCCGATAAAAAGCAAATTTGTAAGAGCAGTGTCCATCCTGACCGGTTATTATGTCAAAGCCACAGGACCAAACAGCTGTATTTTCATTTATCTTTCACAAGCTGACCCAAAAGGTACGGAAACACCAAGCCAGACCCTGAAAATCCTTAGACATTTGTATCTCATTTTTGTGTTTTTCTTGAAGGTTCTCTACCGAAATGGGTGGTGAACAAAGCATCCCAGGTCCTCGCTCCTCGGGTGAGTTCTGCCACAAATTTAAACGGGTCAAGACCGCAACAGCTTAAATCGGCTCGCAAAACGCGTATCGGCGTTCCTGCAGATGTGGGTGTGTGTCCCTTACGAGAACATAAAACGTACACGTGTGAGAGGTCTGAGTTCGTGTCTCATGTGTCTCCAGCAACAATGGTAGCCATAGAAACACAACTGAAGGGCCTGGTCCAGGTAAAACCTGCTGCTGACAAAGGAGAATCTCAGCTCAAGATGTTTCCTGGTCGCCCAGCAGAACCCGTTCCCCAGGTTTCAGATCTTGCATCTGTTGAAATTATTTAGACACGTTTAAAAGTTCTTGGAGCTGCTTATGGCCTGGAGCGAAGCAGAAATGCAGAGCTACAAGCGTCCCCCTTTCTGAGGACGGGAGGCATTATACTTTGAATAGGAGCTGATAAAAAATCTTGGCACAATAAAATCATAAAATGAGAAAACAATGCATTTTGTGAGCTTTGGCGTCATAGCTAGCATGAAAAACAAAAAGGATGTCAACTTCAGCCTCGTTGTAATTCTAGCAGAAACAAAACAAAATCAGTAGAAAGATAAATCAGAAAACTTTTATGCACTTCAACACTCGATTCATTGGGAGTGTTAATCATTTTATGTATGAAACCAAGACATTTTCTAATGACTGCATCACATTCTGGTCATTCTGTCCCATGACAATTTTGAACTTCTAAAGCTTTTGCCAGAGAAACTGGACATTTAGTACCAACCATAAGTTATACTTCTGCAAACCCTCAAACGAGTCCTTGTCCTGTTTGCAGTTCTTTATTTTAAAGTTTTGGTCTACCAAAAAGTTGCGTATGTAAATATAATGACCTCGCTTCAGTTCTTGCTTGTAATGTGGATATTCACAACTTCATTTGAAAACTGATTCAGGTTCTTTAATTTAATTTGCTGTATGTTAACTGTGCTGCAAGGAAACATGGTTTACTGCTGCTGCTCAGTTATTTTGGTGTGATCAGAGGTCATAGTTTTGTATCTTTCATATGGATCTGATCATTAACCTGATCTGATAAATGGGGGATCAGATCATTGCTTATGGGATCAGAACCATAAACAATGAAAACAAGTTCCAAAATAAAAGTATATGCATTAAGTTTTTGGATCGTGTGTCTTTCTAGTTGGCTAGTGAAATCTTTGGTAAAGTTTATGTGAGGTAAAGGTTTTATGAGTGTTGAATCACACATAAAACCATTATTTGCTTTTTTATGTCTTTGATCAAAAAGAGACAATGTTACAAAGCAGCCAAATATATAAATGCTGGGTGCTTAATGAGATTCATTTTTGCCTTTTGCGCAGTTTTAAAGCCAGTTAGAATATGTGTAATTGTTTTTCCACTTGGTGAAAGAGTGAGTTTCTCAGTCTTTCTCGTTTGACTAAGCCACCTTCAATATAATCTGTCGCAGTGATACGTAAACCTTTTACCTTCAGCAATGTTTGCTGAGAGTGGAGGTGTGGCAGAAATCTTTTCCGTCATAAAGCAGCCGTTCTGATCGTCATCTCTTATCTTTCCAGGTGTTGAGTAGCGTGCACCAGGCGGGAAAGAACTACCCAGCATGGAAAAAGAAGAACTCTCCGGACGTGAAGGCCTGGCTCAACCCGGAGCAGAACAAGCTCCCCTACATTAACTCTGCCTTGCTGTCCATACAGAGAGCGGACTCTCTCGAAAACGTGGATGAAAGCTCCAAACTGGACGATCAGGACGCTGAAGACAGCAGCTAAAAGTCGCACAAGTGAAAACGGAAAGGTGGCCGAAAAGAGAGATTGGGGGTGACCTGTATATAATGTTTTTTAAAAGAGACTTTAAGACTCCCAGCTTTCTGCGATATCACCGAGATCCTTCAGCTTTATATCAGTGTGCCTTGTAGGAGTATGAAGTGTTTACAAAAGTCTTAATGCAGAAAAGAGCTCTGATCAAGGTACCATTCACCTCTTTGAGTCTAAGCTTGTGTGCAGGAACAGAGGTGGTGGATATTTTTAAAGAAGTACAACACAACGGGTCTGTGGCCAGGGTATTTATTTTCTACCTATGAAAAAAATCACAAAGTTTAATGTGAAGGGAAATGGAGTATGACTGTTAAATGTTGGCATATTGTTGGTGTCTGTAAACTAAAGATTAGACCATGCTTAATTCCTAAAGTGCAACTTTCTATTAGAACCTGAGACTTTCTTTATTTTCGAAACTCATGGCCAGTTAAAATGATACAACGCAGGTTTTGTGTTAGTATGTTGACAGAAATTTGCCAGTTTTTCAGGAAAATACCATGTACTATTTCATTATTGATGGTTAGATTTGTCCCTTTCAATATGTAATGAAGTGCAATGGAGTAACATATGCCAAAGTCATTCCCTCAAAGAGAAACATTTTATGTAAATAGCAATGTCGGTTAACAGTTTGAGTGTGGTTGAAGCCATGATTGGAATTTTATTGTATTTATTTATTACACTAAACTGATGAAGCCACGATTGTAATGATGCCTGTTTGGCTGAAGTTTTTTTTTTATGTTTTCAGAATATTTCAGGTTGACTTTTTAAAAATAAACTAAAAATGCTCGACATACCACAGTGATCATTTCTATTGACTGGATTCCTCTGATAAGGCCGGTTTCTCTGCAGACCGAGTGGAGCGAGTTCTGCGACTCATTCTGGAACAAACCAGTTCGTTTTCAGATCTAGTGCCGGTTCTTCCAGTGCACAGAAAAGCTTCCTGCCCTGGTCATTCATGTTTTACATGCCACGTTGCAAATCATAATGAGTCAAGTTTAAATGATGAACCCAAAATTACAGTTTTAATAAAAGTTTGTGCAAATGCTTGGCAAACTTTTGTATTTTTATGTAATGCACAGAATGTTTCTTAGTGCAGAGTGGCAAACATTTTTGTTTGTACTTTTCTTTTGATATTAACAAATACTGGTATCAATCCAATTAATCTACAAAGAAACCAGAAATTATTCCACAAACTGTGTGCAACCGTTTTCAAGTATTTAAATCAATTCTGCACCTTACTTTGGCACATGAAGCATGTAATATTTGGTAACAACTAAGGGCTTTCTCAACATCTTTGCAGCCTTATTGTTGCAACACATAATACAATTTTTTTAAAGTGTACTTCTGAACCTGAAAGTATCACTTAATTTCTGTGGCCGCACTGCAAAAGACTCCTCTGCTGAAGAAAAAGCATGTAGAAGTATGCTTTAAGGTACAGGTGTGAAACTCGAGCCCTGGAGGGCAACTGCCCCGCAATGTTTAGATGTGCCTCTGCTCAATAGAATAATCAGGTCACTAGCAAGGCTCTGGAAAACTGATCTGCACAAGAAGGAGCTAATTAATTCCAGTGTTTTGTACCTGTGGCACATCTTAAAACTGCAGGACAGCAGCTCTTGAGGACTGGAGTTTGACTCCCCTGCTTTAAGGGATATAGCTGAAAATTTAGACAAGCCAGGAAAAAAAAAGTACTAGGAATGTGTAGTTTGATCAGATAAGATCAGAGATTAACTCTTTGGAGGTCAGTGTACACCTTGTTTGGAAGAGAATTTTACTTTATATCATCCCAAAGAGGAAATGAGGCTTTCTACTAAGTACTAAATAAGTTACAATATTTGTTCCCTGTGTTAAAATATCTAATTGGCTCATTTGTCATAAATTCCTGGCATGTAATGATTACCTGGGCTGTTACGACACCTGGTGCAAAGTTTATGTCAACATCCTCCAGAGAAACACAAGGGACATTGATACTGAAAGATGAACGTAGTTAAACATGCAGTGCACTGAAATTCTTAAAGAATGTTTCTTTATTATGAACATTTCATAATAAATGTATAACAATGTCTTATGAAGCCATGTTAACCTTTTGGCTCCTGAGTTTGTTCATGTATATTTAATCGAAAAACTGTACAAAAATGGCATAATGTTAAAATTAGTATTCGTATTTACAGTTTTTATAATTTCTTACACAATTACAATATTTGATAAATACTCAAAAACTTGTAAGGTGACGCAAACACAAATATAAAAAATTTATCAGAAGTCTCGCACAATTTGCTCTTATTATTTCCGTCAGTGTTTTAATGTTTTGTTTTAGTGTCTAATGTCAAGATTAGTGCACTAACTGTGCCATTTGGGATTTCAAAATGCTATTAAACATAGATGAGATGTTATCAGTACTAAATTACATTAAAAACTTCTTTTAAAAAAACAATAATGGAGATTAAAATGATACATTTTCAAATGCAAAGCATAACACTATATGATTGGACCACAATGTGGCAGAAACGATGAAATATCGCAGTACATCTGACAATATTTCACCATCTTTCACCACTACACCAGAGAACATGGAGGAGTTTGAATGACACCAACAATCTGTCATCTTGAAGCTGCGATGAAGTGCTTAGGAGTCAGTAGAAGCAGAAAATGACGTCGAATGAAGTGTTTTAGGAACGCTGCTGCCACCTAGTGGACAGTTCTCTCCTTTTGTCTCTGGTAGTCTGATGAGAGGAGCAGAGAAAACCATTATTCAGTTGAAAAACGAATCATTATGAGAGAATTCAGGAAAGCATTTATGTTTTTCTTCTTGAAACTTTTTAAGATCCAACAGATTTTGATCTTAATACGCTGGTGTTACAGCAGGATGATATCTGCTGAGGATCATCCAAATCCTGAGAGATATACTTTTCTTTCAAAATACTCAAATGCAGAAAAAGGTACATAAAGCTCAGGCAGGTTAGGAAAATGGAAGATTTAATCAAAGCCAAACAAGATAGAGCATGTTGACTGGATAGGGTTCAAATTACTAGTTGAATGTGTTTGAGTACAAAGAAAAACATTTATGTTATCACAGCTTAGATCAGTGTTACAACAGGGTTTTCCACACATTTTATCTGATAATGTCAATTCTTTACTCCTCCTGTAGCCTGCAAAAACATTCACTGAATAAAACCAGACAAACCAAATCTGTAAACTTACTTTGTATTTATGAAACAAAACACTTACTGTAGGGAAAGAAGCGAACCTTCATCACAATTTCCCGAGCGGTCTTCAGAATCTCTACCGCCTAAAGAGGGCGACAAACGTTTTCAGTGACTGGTGATTTACTTCACGACTTGCACGACTCGTTCCTCAAACTTTTAAAATGTAACGTGCTTAAACAGAATGGAAGCTTTGTCACAGCTCAGTTTATATCCACGTTTACAAATAATGATCTTCTATCCTCACAATCTCATATAAAATTTCACCACAGATCTCTAGGAAGGAGTTTTGAATGAGGGCAAATTGGGGCAATTGTATTGGCAACTGCTAAAAATGAAAAAAGCGTAAACTAAAAACATTAGACTTTACATTTTAGACTAAATATATCAATATTGTCTTTTGTCAAACCTAAGCAGTGAGATGATAATCCAAATATGTTGCAACTGAACCAGTGGACAATTCAGACCAGATAACATGAAGAAAAATGCACAAAAACTACAACAACACATTTCAGAAACTTCAACTTCCACTGGATCTGCCGTGACTTACTCTCGAGTGCTCTATGTCTTGGAAATCCACATCATTCACAGAGAGAACCTGATCTCCTTCCTGCAATCCTGCTCTGTGGGCATCTGAATCTGGGACCACCTGGCACCACAAAAGACACAAAATAATATTCATTACCACAACAAAATAAAAGTTTAGGAGGCACGCTCACTACGCCTGCACACACCTTGGATATAAAGATCCCTAGTTGCGACGCCTTGCCTCCTCGGATGTTAAAACCCAGCTGGGCTCCTGGAGGTTTCTTCAACACGATGGTGCGAGGGAGGAACTGGGTGAGCTCGTTGTTGTAGTCTGGGTGATGAACCCTCTAACAGGGAACCAAGAAATACACAGTGAAGCCCAGAAACTTACCTACATGGTGTGACTGCTAAAGCAGTTGCTATATGACAGAATAATAAGAGAATTGCTCATTTAAGTTGGATGTTTTAGAGATGTAAGTTTAACAAAAAAAAATGAAATAAAACAGACACCTTATTTAAAACGGTAGCATTACAAGACTAACCCTGTTAACTGATTTAACTGTAAAAGTGTAATGAACAAGTCTAAGCAGGACACACAAGATAATCAGTTACTATTATCTGTTATCGTTACCGTCTTTGTCCAAATGTTACTCAACCAGGAGAAACCGTTAAGTCTGTCTGTACATCCTTACCAGAGTTCAACAGCTTTCAGATGCGATAATATTTGAAGACATCGTCATATTTTCAGCAAAAGGTGAAAGTCAGTTGACTTCTAAATACTGAACTGAAGCAGCAAAACAAATATTGTTTCCTGTGTGTCAGGTCATACATCGCTCCTGCCTTTGGTCCGTCTGTATTTGAACATTTTGAGTTTGTCTTTTTCTTTCTAAGCTGAAACTATCAACAATTTATAAACCAACAACTTGTCCTTTGACATATTTTCTTCTCACTAACTGAAAGCTTTGTTTTAAACATGTCTTCATGGTAGAAGACCCATTTAAAGTTGATGTTTATTTCCACGTTGATGGAGAAACTTGTCTTAGATGATATTCTGTTGAATTTTAGGAACAGATGCTTCTCTGCTACTGGTTCGAATCAACTTTATTTATTTCAGTGCATTTCAGTATTTTTATTTGACTAATTTAATAATGCATGCTTTTCTCCACTCTAATTTTCCTTCAAATTTCAAATGGACTCATGCAATAAGTGGTTTGACTGAATTTGTGAAGCTCTAGGCTTTTTTATATTTCAAAACAAAGATTTTCTGTAATTTCTAGTAAATCCTTAGACACAAAAGAAAACGTCAACACTGTATACAAAGAGATAGGAAGTAATAAAACTCTTAGGAAATTAAAAAAATAAGTTTTGATGTGTTTACATATAAATTAAATAAATTCATCAAAAGGTTCTTCAATAAAACATCCTTATGCTATATCATATAGGTTGAGTTACTGCTAATAGTTAATGTCACTACCTTTCTGTCAAGGAAAGTAATTGTAGCCTGGACAATAAATAATCTGCATGCCCTTTTCCAATCTTCAGATCCTTAATTATTCCCCAGGGGCTGTAATTGTAGCTGGCCATGCTCTGGTAGCCTGCTAAAATCAGAAACCAGTTATTTTCTTTCGGCTCAGCAGCTGGGCAAAGGGCTATTTTTTTTAAAACCAGTACTGTAAACTTAGCTCTTGGCAAAAATTCAGTATCCCACTGTTCCTATGGGCTCCTACACTTTTTTCTTACTCACAAGAATGACAGATTTGGTAGTTTGCAAATACTTCAGACAGCAAGTATTTGTGTTAAAGACTTCATCCATCACTCTTTATAAGGCAACACAGTTTTAAAATTACACTTAGTCATATCTGTTAAATAAAGTACTCTAGCCAACAGCTGACTAATTAACTACCTAAAATCGTCATAATATTCTTGTCTCACTCCATGACAGAAACACGCAGTGTGCGAGACATGTTCTTAAAAGACAAAGTCAGTTAAGATTCTGCACAATAAGCACTTGGGAACTACTACTAAATTTAGTCATATTTCTGTTACATAATTTTATTATTAATTTTCACAAACAGAAGAAAAGGTGTCACAGATTTAAAAATTGAATTTAAGATAAGTGTTTAGTTTTAGGTTAATGTTATGATTTATATTGTGTGTGATATTTTATCCTGACATGTTGTTTTGTTTTCTTTTAAACTGTTTCATGTTATTTAAGGTCCATCTAGGGACATGCATTGCAAACTACCTAATGCTATAACTGTTAGTGTTTAGTTTTTGCTTAGACTTAACATTTGTCTCCATGCAAATAAACAAAGAAAACAAGAAGAAACTACTGAATAACCAAGGTTCAAACTTGGAAAGTAAAAGAGTTATAGTTTTAATTAAAAAAATAAACTACAAATGGCATATTTATTTCAATAGTTTATGTCTCGTCTTACCTCCTGAGGAGGAATCCAAGCCGGTGGGTTTTCATATGAAGGCAGGAAAACCACTGGGAGCTGATAGTCATCATAAGGAATCTTCTGATCCATCGTTCATTTGAACTCCTAGCGATACACAAGTTCATCAATATCTAACATTCACTGCTCATTTCTACCAGAAATGTCTCGTAAGAAATCGGCACTATATTAACCTAAGCAGAGTTCAGTAAAACATCTTTTATGTCTTATTAAAAACAACTGAAAACTCATATCAGTTAGCAGTTGCTACAAAATAGATGCTAACCCAAGCTACTTCGGCTGGACAAACCAACTTTTCAACACGTTTCAACCACATCTTCAGTTTCTAATCTGTATCTCAGCATTGTTACCCAAATTTCTTAAATGATTGCATAGCATATTTTGAAAAAATATGAAAAGAGAAAGATGAAAGTTTCTGTTACCTGCCTGGTAAGCTAACAGTTTGCGCTTCTTCTCCTTCTTCTCCTGCGTCACTAGAGGAATCCAGCTCGTTGTCGCCACCTACTGCCAGGAATCATTATCAACTTTTTTCTTCTATTAAAATATGAAGAAAACCTATTCTAACAAGTTCTTATTTTAAAAATAACGAAAAGAGACGCCCTCACATATAAAAAAAAGTATTAAAACTAAGTAATTCAGTTGTACTGTTTGCTAATGAGACTTACACTGGGGAATATGTGTTCTTGACATGTTAATAATTACATACTTTATTGTTTTTTGTGATTAATCACACTCCGAGTCTTGTAGGATGCCTTACTGTTCGATTCATACTACAATTTAAGCTTGCATGACTAATATCACCTTTCATCTTTCTCCTTAAATTTTCTGACATACTCACTGTTTCTTTTAATAGAGTAATATATCTTACTGCCAGGAAGTTTTACTCCTCTTTTTTACAGATTTTTTAATTTCCTCTCATCAGTCCAGGTTTTTTTATAAGACACACATAAATCTGTCATTGTTTGTTTGTTTTTTTAACACAAGCCTTGGTGTTTGTTTGGGGTTTTTTGTTTTTTCTGTTTTTGCATATTATTCCACCCACATTCCCAAGAAGCACAGCACAAGTTCAGCCAAACATTTCCTGACAATGACAACTGCTCTTCTGTTTAGCTTCTTGGAAAAAGCAACAAATACAAGAGGGACGGTTTGCAGACATGAGATGAAGTGTTGACATTTTAAGAACATTTTCTTCTTTAAGTTTCCTCATAGTTTAATGCCACACATTGTCATCATTCCAGTTAAGAAAATCCAACTGTGTTTTGTTTCCCAACATCTTGCCAATACACTGCCTAAATAATGATTATGTGCATCATTAAATGTTGCATGAAAGCCTGTCTAATGATAGTTGAGAAATTCAGGGAAATTGGAGCTGTGATGGTTACAAAGTCATAAAGGTGCTGGGAGGAAGGACCTGAGACAATGCTTCTTTGTTCCCATAGTAAAGATATGCAATATGATAAATATTATGTAGAACCAAGTAGGAAAAAAAGCTAAATTTCCTTATATTTAAGCATTCTTGAGGTTTATACAGATCTTTTCTAAAACTCCTGAAACTACTTTTTTAGTTTCAGTGAGAATGCCTGCAGCAGCATTCTGGATCAGCTGCAGCAACTCATGTTTTGCTTACATTTGGATGCAGTTCATCCACACAACAATTTGGTCATAGGTTAATGTTGCTGTTTATATTTGATTTTCTGAAATAAAATGTAGCTACAGTCATCCTGATTAATACAGTTTCAGATGTGTATCACTAAATGGCAAATCTTTAACTGTAAAATAAGAATTTCTGTCTCATCTTACTTTTAAAAATATACATTTCTGATGTTTAATGAGATAAAAAAAGGAATAAGTGAAGACTAGACTGGTTCATCTTCTCATATTTCACTTCCAGCTTTCCGGTCATGTTACTCAGCCAATCTAACAGGAAATAAGAATTAGTTTGGTAAGTATCTGTTAGTCATTTGAACCATTTCTTATGTCGTCTTGCCTAATGCCTGGTTGTCTTTCAATACCAACTCAGACCCTGTCCTGGTTTGCTTTCTAATCTCCCATCTGTTTCAGATTAGCTTATCTCTACACCTGTCCTGCATGTAGGAGTTTATTTCCACCTCTATAGTTTTTTTTTTACTCCTCGGCTTCGTGTTCAGTGCCTGTTGGTTGTCAACATTTTAACTGATGTGTTTGGTTTGGATCCTGTTCTATTATAATTTAGTTTCCTTAAATATCAGTTTGCTTGTTTTCTTCATGGGAAACTCAGTAAGTCCTTGATGTTTGTTAAATTAATTATTGTCTGGGATTTTACTTGCATTTACATTGAGAATTAATTAATTTCAAATTCCTATGTTTCCATATTATGGTGTTCAGGAATAATCTCAAATACAATTCCAGTCTTCATTTGAGGTTTTTTTTTTTTAAAGATAATTACTTTTAATTAAAGATGATATTGAGACTAGAAAAATTACAACTGTACAAGCAATTATTTATACATTCATTGATTTTATTTGGTTTCACAAATGTGTAAATAAACCAAACTCAGACTTGGAGTTTATTAAACATAAATCATCAAAATACCAGAGGATACAAGCAAAACGCTGGTCAGCACTAAAAAGAAGAGTTTAATCAGTTTAAAGGCTAAATAAATTGTTTGTTAAATTGTTCCACAAAAGATAGAAATATCTTAATTTAGAATTTAAATGTGAATACATTTTTTCTAATATGATATCCTACTTTTATTGTCTTATCTTGTTTGGAGACATATTTTTCATTTCCTGTCAGAAACAAACTGCCTAATTAAATATAAATAGATTTAAATCTAAAATATGCCTGAGGTACAAAAATATTTGGCCTCCCTCGTTGTTACAAGCTCTGATGCGAAGCAGATGGTCTAAACATGCAGGGTTGTGCTTAAACTTCACTTCTACATGTTGCAGCTGGTGCAGGTACTATGAAAGTGGTTTTTTTAAAATATATATTGTTATTTTCCGGGCCATGGGGGTAACTTTTATTTCAACTGCTTTTATAGGACTGTGTCTTGTGCACTGCGCTTTCAAAGCAGTCCAGTTGTTTTGTTAAAAGCACATTGTTAAAAAGATTAAACATCTTTAAGCAGAGGCTTCGCAGAAGTCTGGTGGTTCTCCTTTTTATTTCTGTGGCTTGGATGTCAGCAGTTCAAAGGGTTCATGGAGATTGTGTGAAGAGTTGCTGTCAAATGGATATGTGGGGATGCTGGTAGGTTTGACATTTGTTCTCTAAAATGTTTGGGGCTCATTTCTGGGAAAATAAGATTCTATAATGATGTTTTAAAATAGTGTTGCTGGAAAATAATATCTCTGATCTACATCTTTCAGCAGTGGAAAATGAGCTGGAAATAAAAAAAAAACATTGCATAAAGGACAAGTTGGTGCTTTGACACCTGAAGAAGGATCTTATCAGCCTTTTTATTTATTTTTCATTTTGTTTTCATTACGTTTGTGGATTCCAATGTCTTGAATGCACCTTCATTGATGTTCCTTTTGAAAAAAAGGTTGTTGGTTTACTTTTACATTATGATGCTAGATGTTCCTGGATTCCAAACGAAACAATGGAGGTGATCTCAAGTTTGCTTTTCATTTCTGCAGCTATTCTGTTTAACATCTTGTCTTTCTGTGCAAGAAACTGGTGATGACCTAGAAACCTTTAACGGACTCTTACTGCCTCAATTTTACACGGGTTTAATTCGTGTGTATGGAGGCGTAATCTAATCTCTAAGCTAAAAAAAAAACTAGAAACGCAAAAATAAAGAACTTAGAACGCTACAGTTACATTCCTTGAACATGTCCATTGCATGTTTTGTTGGGGTTGCTGGATGAGAGGCAGTGCCTGCTTTTTTGTGAATCCATATTCTGGACGTTTTTCAAACGGCTCATTTTCCAGACACCAAAAAATATATGGAATATATGGAAGTACAAAAATGTGAATTTTGAATTTTTTGTACCCTTTAAGATATTGGAACTTCAATGAAACACAGTGAGAGTCATTTTGCAGAAATTAAGAAAATGTCTGAGATGCTAACCTTCCCAGGTGGATTACTTCTGCATAGTTCAGTTGACTCATCAGGAAAGTAAGAAAATAACTTAGAATAACACTGAAAGCAGCTCAGATTCCACTACATTTAGGTTCTTGGTCTGTTGAGAGTTGTTTAACCACAACAACAGAATAATTCTGTGAGATTTTTTTTTTTTTTTTTTAAACTGGTTTACTGAGTTCTACCTGGTGAAATATATGACTTTGTACTGATATTGCCTTAGGAAATATTATGTGACTAGGGTGGCATTAAACACCTTTGGTATTAATTTGAATAGCACAAGTGGAGTCTAAGGTAACAGTAAAGTAAGACGAAGACTGACATGATTTATGGCTAAAGTTTCCTGATGAAACAATGAAAGTGACATGCACACCCCTGGAGAGCACAGCCATGTTTTTGTAGCAGTTTGTGAGAGGCACACGTCAAACAGGAAGAGCAGCAATGTGGAATCTGATAGCACGTCCACTTTTACCAGCATATGTACTACATTGGAATAAAATCAGTTTGGGAATAATTATTCCAAAATACTGGACTTTTAAAAACACCCAAAGTTATGATATGAAGCAGATCTTTGTGGCTTGATGCAGTTCTGATTAAGCCTCTTCTTCTGCAAGCAGCTCTTGAATCTTAGTGATTTTCAACTCTTGATCAAATTGTTAAAAACTCGTAAATCACTTATGATTTATTGCCTCTTATTAATTAATTCCCAGGCTCTTCTCTACCTTTGCTAGCTAGTTTACCGCAACGATAACTTACACAATATGTAATTGCGTAACTTTATCTTTTAAAATAATTTTATCATAAAAGTTAACTCATCATTTCTCTTTGTCTCAAAAGGAAGACCAAATGTAGGCAGAAGAGGAGCAAAAAAAAAGGCCTTTAATAGACAAAACGTAGTTTACAGAAACAACATTCAAGGCTGAAAATCCAGAGATGTCAACTGAAGTTAATACTAAATAAGTTTAAAAGCAAACCAGCAGTAGAATCAAGCAGTGTAGAGCAGAATGAATGCTTTGCACTGCAGATCCAGTTTTCAGCACTTTTACTTTTGCAGCAGGTGCAGCGATTTCTGCTTCAAGTTGAAACTTTCCTTTTTCCTCTGGTGTCCTCTTGTTCTTCAGTTTTTCTTTGAGCATATTTTGACATGTGAGCAAGGCAGCCATTTCAGCCTCTGCCCTGAGATGTGCAGATGAAGTTGATGATACTTTGGAGCTTCACCTGCTTCTTTGATTTGAAACTGTCAGATGGCAACACATCCTAATGAATGTCATGCTGGAGACTAGCAGATAATTGAGGTTCCATTTGATCTTGAACTTCCATTTCTAATGGAGTTTCCTGTGACCGTAATGCATCAGAGGATGGCCAGTAGGAGCATTTATTTATTTCAGAAAACCATATTTAAACATCCTCAATAAATCCCTTATTGTATTTAGTGATGCTTGAAAACCATGCATTTTGTTTATCTGTCTCATCAAACAGAATTAGATTCATGCAATAAACTGGCATCATTGAACAGGTGCATTAACTCATCCAGCTGAGATTTGACAGGTGATTTTACTTAGATCTACCTGCAGGTAAATTGCAGGTAGATCAACAGGGGGAGAAACAATGGAACTGATTCTTCATGGAAATCCAATGAGACAACCTAGAAGCTGCAAACAAAAGGACTATAAAACTTCTGGCAAATGGACAGGAACTACAAGAGAGGGCTAGAGAGACCACTTGTAAATGTTAATCCCCCAGCACTGAGGGAAGACTCTGCCGCTCTTCTATTACTCTGATGAGGCTGATGAGCTCCACCTGCTTTTAAAAGAGCAATACGCAGCCCCAAACATTCAGGTTTCAAACCACTTCTTCTCTGTCAAGCGATCCTCTTTCGTTGGTGCAGTGGCAGTGGTGTTTGGGTTGGCGTCGGCATTCCAGCTGTGTGAGAATCTCCGTCCATTTCTTGCTGACGAATATTAAAGACTGTAAAATAAGGTTGCTGAGCTGCTGATTAGGGGGGATTGTTGTCGACTCACCAGCTGATCAAAACGTAAATCCAAACTGCAGTTCGGATGGTTTTATTTTCATCAGTGTTATCAAAATCCAAGGCAAAACATCAGTGTCCAAATTGATTCGCAGGTATAAACAGTGATCACAGACAAAAAGTAATACGAGCTTAAATTGGTCAGGAAAAAGTAGACCTCCCCATCACCTACCCACCAAAGAGCATTGTAGAGCAACTGGTGCTCTACAATGACCACTAACATCAAGTGATTCAGAGCTTCTCATTTACTTTTGTGTCATTCAGAAAAAAAATGAAACAGGTTTTTCCTTTAGCAGTTGAGTGAGTAATCCAAATGATTCAAAACTTTATTTAGTTTGGAGAGTGACTCACAGTAACTTTATAGAGATGTTATCTGCAGTACAGTCAGCTAACAGAAGAACAGCAGGGGTTTGACTGTGTGGCTCCTCTTTTTTCCATGCAGGTTCCTAGTAAGGCGGGATGCGTGTTGTGGACACACAGGTCTCCAGTCCATCACTGGGCAAAAAAAGAGATGCACAGGACAAGCAACCAAGCACACACACCTCAGAAACACCTCAGACAAATTTAACGTTATGTTTTAAGTACCTGGAGAGAATCCAAGCATTAACACTGAATGCAGAAATACTTCAGGTCGGGTTTAGAACCGATGACTTTCTTGCTGCTTTTAAGTAAATGGCTCCATTCTTCTTATTTTTTACACCGGCACTATATTTTCACAAACCTAAATGCTTAAATTGGTTGTTGAGCGCGTCTACCTGCGCAAGCGCACACGTGATCCTCCCACCCTCTCCTTCTCTCTCACTCTCTCTCTATCTGTCTCTCCTTCTTCCCGAGCCCCTTCACTCATTCATCAGGACCAATTTTCATTCAGCCCACGCAGCAAGACCGCCTACAAAAAGATGCGGGAAGCGACGCAGAGATGTAGAGGAGAAAACCGCAGACGGGATCCGAAGGAGAGCGCGTGTTTGTGAGCCGGATTGAAGGTCTGTGTGTCACTCGTGGTTTCATTTTTGGTAATGAAGGTAATAGGTGGAAACATTAAGCGTGCTTTTCTTTGAGAAGCATGATTAAGTGCTTATATTAGAGGGTTTTGTCTCCTTAATGCAGCGGAGAGGACCTTTAATCAGATTGGTTCGCCATGAAGTGAACAGGCTGAAGCCAAAAGGTTTTATCGCTCTCATTTCTATTTTTCCCTTTATATGTATCTGTGTATTTATGTGAACACAAAACACTTAACTCTGAACAATGTTTAATACATTTCTAAAAAATCTGGTGAACAGTACAAAAAGAAGAGGAGTTAGGGGGTTCAGTAAAGTTTGTACATTAAATATACATTTTATGTACAAACTTGAATTTGTACATAAAAACACACAAAAAAGTTCTCTAATCTCAAATTTAAAAAAAAGAAATTAAAGTAGAAAAATGATGAGGAAAAAATCAATTTCAAAAGAAAATGTTAGATTCTATTGATATTTTAGGGTTTTTAGATGGAAAATTATAAAAGGAGTTTTTATGGTTAATAATTCAAATGAATAAAAGGTGACCTTATTGTTAAGTATTTTCCAAGTAACGCAATGAGAAGGGGAAGAAGGAAATGGTTGCTGGAGGTTAAAATTTAACAGTGGATGAATTTGAAAAGGTTTCTAACAAAGAAGCTTCTCTGAAATCTAAAAATGGGTCGTCTGTATTGAAGAGTTAAAATGTTTTGACCTATATGAAGTATTTCTAGATGTTTGGTGAAAAACTGCTCAGATTGACAACTTGAGTGAGCATAGGCATCAAATACTCAACCTCACAATACTTCATCTATTTTGTGCCATTTATTCTGATAACAATAAAAAAAATGTTTAGAAATTCATCACACTTTATTTATTTATTTTATTTAGCTGCCATGTTGCTCAGTGACAGATCAGGTGCATCATATATCAATCTGACAAAGTTTATTTATATGGCACAATTCAGGAATAAAGTAGTTTAAAGTGCTTTACATCTTAAAAACACAAAATTACAAATACATGCAGAGGGTACAATCCTCAACACGTCTTTTGCTTCATGTCTTTTCCTTTGCTCTCCTTCTGTCAACGCAGCTACTGTTGGAAAAAAGTCTACCACAAAACCTTTTTTTAAAAACGATAATAATGACAAAGCAAAACAAAAAACTTCAGGGCAAATAATTTAACATTTTGTCTCTTAAAATAAAACTCAATCTCTGTCAAATAGGCCCTTCACCAGTTGGATTTGTTGCTCTAAGCAAACCAATAGAATTTTATTTATTCATTTTTCAAGTATATTTATATTTATTGACATTCTCAAGTATCAATAGTGGGGGAAAAAATGTTTAAAGCAAAACAGCAACAAACCAAACTATGTTATCAGATTTCTATCACAATTCTTCTCACTGTAAACTCATTTGCAGCAATTCAAAAACAAAGAAAAATGTCATTTTAAGGGAGAAGTTGTTTTGTTAAACCTCGTTTCATCTATCCAGCAGTATAAACTTGACTCTGTAACATCTCTCATTAAGCTCATTTAGAAATCCACAATTTTTTAAGTATATGTTGCATGATGTGCGATGAAGACATTAAAAAAAAACTTTGAGAGACAAATTGCAAGTTGTTTCTATATGTGATAATTTACTCTGCCAGAAGGTGATTATTTTTTTCCCCAACATAAACTGCATGGAAGAAAGTAATATTGCAGAACAAATGAACTCATGAATTCAGTGTGACTGTTTTAATAAAGAAGTGTATTGTTCTCATGTAACGATCACATATTTGTCTCCTTTTGTCACCGGTGTCATAAACTGACAAAGTGGTTAGTCTTACATTACTAGCTCTTTACTTTCTGCTCAAACTCAAGACTTCCTGGTTTCACCTGGTATGCAGACTTGCCACAACACGTCCCCATTAACTCTATTCCTCCAAATTATTTCTAGCAGAGTTTTTTTAATGTCTAGGTCGTTTTAAAATAAATCAAAACAATAATAATGTTAAGTATGAACATAGTGCTTTTATTACAGCAAATTTGAATGTGTTTCATTTTTCCAGTGATATTAATGTTAATGATAATTAATTGTGACCAAAGCATGAAGAAATGATGGTTCATCCGTCCTTTACAAGCTAAATATGAATTCAGTTTTTTTTTCTTTAATGAAAACCTATATTTTAGGAACCCGACTCCGTTGTTGTTGTTCATCATCAATATGTCTGTCTTATTTAGAGGAACTCGTCTCTTCTCATTAAGAGCTAATGATCTTACCTTGAACAAAATTACTTTGATAATGATTGTAACAATGTCCGGCCATTTAAATTTGGGCCGTTTTCTGTCTATTTATCCACTCACTGGTCACCAATGGATAACTAATGCCAATTTGGCAGCATGACTTATTTCATCACACTGTTGTAAGTTCGCTGAAAACATGCCAGCTTAATGTGTATTCTGTCTGTTAACTTGGCATAAACCTAAAGTAGTATATAAATGGAAACGTTTTAAAATGATACAGCTCTTACAGTGGTTGATGTGCGGTTTTCAATGCTGTGATGAATGGAATGTGCTTTTGAAGTAATTAAATCACCTGGACCACCAGTTCAACCTTGTTCGGGGTGGCATGCAACATGAAAATGTATCTTTCTGCTCTTGATCCTATCAGCTAACTTTGACGCCTCGGGTGAAGACCCAGAGGGCTTTAACTGTGAAAACCACTCAAGTGAAAAGGAAACTGGCAGAATCTCAGGTGAAAGCAGGTCTAGCGAGAAATGGGTTGTAAAGCAGTAGTTTTTGCAACTGATGCCCTAAATAACTCCTCTTGGAGTGACAGGACCGTTTCCCATGTCTTTAAGAGTGCGGGCCACCGAAACCTGGCACAACTGAAGGATGCTGAGTCCCAACATGTTGACTATCATGTAATACGACCCATTTCAGGAAAGCAGATGATGGACAGCCTAATCCCTTAAACACGTTTAGTTGTTTTGCAGGTCCAGCTGTTCTCTGCTTGCAGCTTTTTACTCACTGGCAGTTTGTTTCCTGCATAGGCTGTTGGTGCTTGGCTGTGCCTGTCACTGTGACTGTTTGTGCTGCAAAAAGCTGGAGTTCTCTCCCAGGCCGGACTGTGCAGCATTCAATACCCCATGGTGTTGGCCATTGTAGGCTAGTGACTATACCCTCTTTTGTACACAGACTCCTTTGAGAAATTGCCTTCGCATCTAAAGAACCTCTGCCTCATTTGCTTTCTATCCCCTGCCTCATTGCTCTATGAGCTTGGGGAGATGAATGAAACTAGCCTTTCTTTTCTGTGTCCACAGAAAGGATTAGAAGAGTTCCTCCATCCTTAGAAAAGTTCCTCCATCCTCCTCACTGTGAATTTAAAGCGCTGCTATGGCCCTGAGCAGATGTTGCAGAGATTTCAGCAGAGCTTTCTTTAGCTGCCGTTGGGAGGAGCAGAGGGACAAAGAGAACAAGGTGTGTATACATTAAAAATTTCAAGTCCATACAAACATTTAATAAACTGTCGATCAATGGTTTATCAAATTAAAATGAATTCCAAGCAATTTACCGTTTCTTAGTGTTGTAGTTTCCCACGACCCAGAAGAGGGCGCCGCTGGTCATCCTTAAAACTGCATTATGTAACTTTTGTAAAAAAAAAATATATATTTTTTTACATATTTGTTGAATATAGTGTGAAACAGCCTGGGGAAAAAAATCAAGCTCCTCCACCTTGTTTCAGCGCTCCCAGTGCAAATTAAAAACAACCCATCAGTGCCAGGTCTTATTGCTGTCAATCACCCTACATGTGGCGCTGCTCATCCCTGCCTCCTCTCCTTACAGTTACATTAAGTTGTTTCTCCACCATTAGCACATTTAGCAATGAAATGAGATTGATTGACAGCATTAAAACCCTCCTCCTGGCTCTGATTGGTTGCTTTTGGTTGGGAGCGGTGTATTTGTTCAGACACCAACAGGAGTGTTCTTATCAATTCATTGTTAGTCACTTGAGAAAACCAATATACAGTAATTCAGTAAAATAAAAATAAAATGTTGAACATGTATTTATTATTTTAGCTTTCTCTACCAACGACTCATAGTGCTTTACACTAGAGACGCAATTTCACCTAATTGCATGCACAAACCCAGACATGTTTACCACAATACATAGACCAGTGGATAACTTGGCTTTGAGTTTCTTGCCCTGGGCCACATTAAATGTGGCACAAGAAAGAAGCTGGAATCAAAACACAGATTCAAAAACCCAAACAGCTACACTTCCCATTGAGCAACAGCTGCCTCGCAGTCAAATTCAGAGTAATGTATTTCATGTTCTTGTATCTCTTGAATTTGATTATGGCTTACAGCTAATGAAAACTCTGCAGTTTCAGGCTTTTTTGACATGGATTACTGCATTGATGCAACATAACATGGAGGCCTGGGGCCCTGCTGGAGTAGTGAGGGTGGTTTCTATTGCAGCTTTTCTGCATTGTTGGGTCTGGTGTTTCATCTTCCTGCTGACAATACTCCATTGCTAGCCGATCAAGGACAGTGATAGTTACAACAAGCATTGGCATCTTTGGCAGTGTGGGCAACTTCCACCTCCTGCTGGAAAACAAAATCAGCATAAAGCTTGACAGAAGATGGAAACATAAAGTGTCTTGGTAAAACAAGTGGATTAAAGTCAGCAGATCAAACGTCTAAGTAGGAAACGTCCTATTGAACATGGTGCAGCTTGGATTCTGTGTCCAGGACAATGATTTCTTTAAATCTCACATTTGGACCTCTCTTTTGTGACGTTGTCTCTGGCTCAGGAGAGATATAACTCAAAGAATGGATCTTGAACCACTTAATCCAGCTAGAAAGTCCATAACTGATGCATCTGTCCTGAAACTCCATCAATAATTTTTTAAATTTGCTTGCTTCCTTGGTATTGGTCTTTTTTTTAACCACATTTTTTTCTTCCACTTAATTTTACATTGATATACTTTCATACAGCACTCTGTAAACAGTCTTCTTTATTTTATTTCATTTATGGTAATATTCTAATAATTTGCTGACCAAATCATTGGGATTTAGATAAAAATGCTACAGAAGTAAAAGCTTGAAATATAAAAAATCTGCATGTCAGATTTGTATGGCTTTCCCCTTTTGAATTTTTATATAAGTGAAATAAACTTTTTAGTTATATTCTAAAATATTGAGTTGCACCTCTATAAATTAACACACTTTAGCTGTTTCTTTAATATTAAGGTTAACTTATAGTGTTGAGCAGAACTTTTATTCCCACTAATCACAGATTAAAGGCTGAAATCTTCAAAAAAAAAAGATTACAAATAAGTTTGTCTTCTGTTTATCACATTTTAAATTAAAAACTGTCTGTTTTGCTTGTCAGAGAGTGATAAAACACTAATAAAAAGGTGGTGAAGATGTGATGATTAATGATTCCAGTTTGCGCCAAAAAAATGCATAAACTTACAAGCCTTGACAGGCTTTGATAGATTTATCTGGAGTTGAAAGAGAAGGAGGATGACGATGTTGTAGGATTTCCATTGTAAAACTGCAGGTGTGTTTACCTGAGAAAATACAAAGGGTTTGTTTTTGTTGAGCTGTCATAGAAAGGAGCACAGAATCAAGGAGAGAATGTTCGAAATCTTTCACTACATTTATTTGAATGACCTGCATGATTCTCATCTGGAAACCTAACAAATAACGATCTTATCATATTTTTTCCACAGTGCTCAACCTGCTGGTGCATAATAGTCACTGTTGGGGCCCTAATTTCTGTCTGCTGGGTTTACATTTGGCTGGTCATCTACAACAACCGAGATGATTTTAATACGTGAGTGATCACAACAGGAAACCAAGCATCCACTCTTGCTTTTTTGTTTTTAGTGGTGACGTTTACTCTGTTACCCGAGTCCTAATCTCTTATGTTCTATTATCAGATTCTTATTCTCCTATCTTCACAAGCACGGGAACTATTTCATGGTAGCGATGATCATTTTTGCCCTGTCTGCCAGCTACTGCGTTCTGCTGCTGGTGAGAAGCCTCGGATCAAATTGAATAAAACTGGACTTCGTCAACTGTTTCTGTCTAAACTTAAACATTTTCACTTGATTGCAGCTTTTTGCACTGGTCCAAGTTGTCTTACAAGAAAAACTTGACTTGCACTGGATCCACAAGGTAAAATAAACTTTCACTTGTTCAAAATAGAGTATCGGATTTAATCCCAGTACTAACTGTCACATTTTCTTTTCTGATATGCAGGTTTTGATAAGTTTGGGAATGCTACTCATCATAACTGTGATTTCATTAATCACCAAATTACGGCGGGAAGAATGGCATATTGTTTCTCTTTCATTCCAGGTACAGTGAGTATGTGGATTGTGAAAATTATGGATTCACCCGATCAAGCTATTCTTTTTCTTTGCCATTTTTTTCAATACTTGTCGTTTCTGCTACTACATTGACATGAGAGAAGTAATGCAATGTCTCTTGACTCTCTGAGCACCTTTTTATCATTTTATATTGATGAAACTTTAAAAATTGGCTCAGTGATTGTTTCGTAACTTTTTTCCACATTTTAATGTGCCATATATCTTGTAAAAGTCAACAAAAAATCTGATTGACGGGGATATAAACACTCTCTACAATAACTTAGTTGCATAAATATGCACACCCCTAACTAAAACTTGATTGAAGTTTGATTCATTTCCAGCATACAATCTTCTTTGATAGAAATCAGTGAACTGATATGCGGTTAGTTGGAGTAGTTTTATGTCTTCAGATGAAAGCTGCAGACACTAGCATGTTTTCTCTGTTTTTATGAGTTCCTGATAAATTAGCTGTAACATATTTCAGGGCTTGTACAGTTAATGATTTGCAGATAAAAGAACAAATTTCCTGCTTTATAAACTTAATGCTACACTTTTAACTTGGAAGTTTAGCAAACAATACAAACAAAGAAGGAACTGCAGCAGTTTTTCATTTTGAAAGACTGTTCAAAAGAGATAAAAAAACTGCCAAGTTTGAAACAAATATGGTAGGAAATTACTGTAATTTGTACAAAATGCAAATAGGTATGTTTGAGTATGACCGGAAAATTCTAATCGACTTCACATTTCAGTTTGCGGGTTTTTTTTTCCACCTTTTAAAAAGCCTAAAGGACATATGTAATGTGTTTTATTGAATTTTAAAGCCTACCTTTATTATAATCACTTACATTTTCCATTTCTCACTAAACTATTGAAATAGTTTTTATTGCCAGGCACAGTGTCGAGGTTTAACTCCAGATTCCAATCTGAACTTCTTATTTGGTTGATCTTATTTTCTTGTTCTCTCTTCGCAGTACACAGCTCCTTTCTTACAGTTCGGTGCTGTTGGAGCCTTGACCCTGCTGAGCTGGCTGGTCTTCCGGGCCTTCCACCGGGACCAGAAACGTGAGTTGCACATCCCTGTCAGTATATAAACCCATGATCCATTTGCACCACTGCATAGACTGATGTCATCACACATAAATTCAGTTACAGGGTTAGTCTTTAAATTATTTGTAATAGCTATGAATCATGAAGTGATTGCGCATGTGAGGGAATGTGAGGACAAATGCAACATTTAGAGCCAGATAAGGTGAAAATGCATTTTAGATCTGCTTTATTACACATTGGAGCAAAACTTTTAGTTCAAAATGAAACTAAGAAAAGAAAATTAATGTTCTTTAAGAGCAACACTCAAATCTTTTACAACTTCTGTCATTCTTTTAAAAAATGAAGCACAAATGTGGGTGTTTATTTTTAAAGGAATAATACATTTCAGTTCAAAATACATTTGAGTTTATTTTTCCACTTAATCCATATGTATAGTCATAAAAAAAAACTTACAACAATAATTAGGTATTCTTCATCCCAATGCTTATACTCACTTATTATTGTTACATTTCTTTATTTTTATCAGAATGAGAAAGAAAGTTGAACCAGCAGTTTTCATTTCCTAGCACATTAGTAAGCAAACTCTTCAATGGACAAACCTTTTTCAAACAACACAGTAATGGCTGCTTGTGTCGGTTGAAAGTAAACAGTGAAAAACTGAAATCTGTCACAGTTTCACTCTGATGCTGAGCCAAAAGTTACAGCAGGAGCCAAAGTAAACATGATGCATTGCTCAACATAGGACAGCACCTCCTTCAACCTGTAAGATGAGATTTTAAATAGTCGTTTGTGTTTTTTTTGTTTGTTTTTTTACCATTTGTCAAAAAACATGACATTTTACATTTTGTCATGGAGATTAACTGATGAACAGCTACCACATTTATTCATGTTTAGCAGGTTTTCCAATCGATTAACCTCTCAGTGACAAATGAAGCTCGTCTTCAGGAGCAGATGAACAAACTGCCATAAAATTATCTGGAAAAGCTTTGACTGCAGTTCGAGATCTGAAAAGGTTAACTGTTAAAAAAAAAAAAACGCAAAAACCTTTAGCAAACGTGGATTTCCGTTTTTTTTTCTCTAAAATTCGGAAACATTGGTTGACTTAAACTCATCTATGTTTTATATAGAAATGGATTTTGTTTGAATTGAAATACTTAAACATTTAATTTAACAAGTAAGTAGCTTTTAGAAAGATTGTGGATTCATTTACAGACTGGGGGAAAAAAATTAACAACAAAAACTCTCTATGAATTTTAGTGATTTACATTTGAATAGTCAACCTTCTAAGTGTTTCAGGCTAAAGTTAAGTGTTAAACAAACAGAAATGTCTTAATTTATCAAAGTAAAAGCCAAAATGGAAACGTTTATATGTCAATCTACTTTTTGATTAATGCAGCTAATAATAAAATGACGACTTGACGTTGCTCAAGATTGTTTTTGCTAATAATTGAGTTTAGTGAAAAGTGGTGAAGACAGTATATTACAAAGATGAAATCAACGCTGACATCTTGCTGCTAGTCCTTCCAACCTACTCAGCATAAACAGTTGATTGTCTTGTTTTCTTTCCAGGAGCAAAGTTCCCGATTGCAGTATTATTCCTTTTGTTGTCGGCATTCATCTATCTGTGTCCCCTGCTCATCGACTCACCTTGTTTGATCGACATAAAGGAAATAAATTTGACTAAACCAGACCTCTGGGGCCACAGAGGAGCACCAATGGTGAGCATCCTGTTTAACAAGACAAAAACTTCAAAATAAACAACCCGTATGGAAATACGTGCAGCAATATTTAATTTAATCATGTTTTGTACTTAAGAATAAATCTATTAACGTGTTGGGTAACAACATGGCATTTTTTCTTATTTTCGAAAGTGTTGCGACGTTGCAAGTCATGTGAGGGGCCCCATATGGCCTGCATCTGTAGCCGTGTTGGCATGCTCTTCTGCTAGATCAACAATAAGCTCCATTTAACATAGTGCACTGAGTTTTGTGTACTCTCACAGCCTCAGGGTAGTTTCTGTAAAACAGTTTCTCACTCATATGTTCTGACTGTGTTCAGCTGGCCCCAGAGAACACCCTGATGTCCTTTGAAAGGAGTGCAACCGAGTGCAAAGTCAAAGTATTTGAGACTGATGTGCAGCTCAGGTAGGGTGAAATTGTTTACCATTTGTATTCATTTTGCCCTTTAATATGTCTATTGTAATTGATCATCAATGCTTTTGTGAGAATTGATTGTAAACAGATAAAAAGGAAGCATTTACAGGGGTGTCAATAAATATTGCTTGTTCATTTAGCAAAGACAGAATTCCCTTTCTGATGCACGACCATAAGGGCAAATTCCTCAAAAGAACAACAGACACGGACAATATTTCTTGTGGCAATCAGATGAACATTAGTGAGCTGAAGTCTTTAAATGCTGGGAAATGGTTCATAAAGGTGAGTGCTGCCTCTGTTTGTGAGCCTCGCTAGAAGTTTGAATTTTTAAAAGAAGCAAAAAACACTCAAATATTTGGTGTCTTTCCAGAACAATCCTTTTCAAACTGTTGACCTGCTCAACAAAAGCCAGAGAGAGACAGCTGAAAATCAGACTGTTCCCTCACTGAGGGAGCTTCTAGAGCTTTCCAAAAGGCACAATATCGCCATTATGTTTGACTTGTATCGTCCCGACGGTTGTGATGGCAGTAATGACACTGAGGACACTGTGAAAGAGATCTTGAATTCAAGCATCAGCCACGAATTGGTAAATGTCCTTACGAGTTTGAAAACATTTCATTTCGCAGGATTTTAAAGTCTTGTCTTATTCTAGATCTACTGGCTTCCACCAGAAAACAGAGAATATGTGAAGAAGACTTCAAACTTCATCCAGGTGTACAACATTACAAACACATCAGAGATCGATGAACAAAATGTGACTCACCTTAATGTTAAATACAGTCACCTGAATACACGTGAAATCAGGTAAGACCTAAAAACTAGATCAAAACCAACAGAAAAAACACTTAGATTGTTTGCAGGTACTGTTTTTATTGGGGTTGGCATGCACAGTAGTGTAGTGAGTAGAAGCATGTCTGGACAGGATGCTAGTGCGTTACATGTGAAACTTGGCTCAAGGGAATCCAGACGAATAGTGTCGCGAACCTTCTGGGGTGTTTGAGCAGTCATAAAACATTTACTAAGGAATGAAAAACAGTGTTTCAACATGTTTAAAGGAGTTCACGAATCGGAACAGTTCACTGACTTTTTGGAAGTGTTTTGATGCAGCAAAAAACATCAACCGCTGCATTCCTTTGTGACACTGGATTTTTACATTTATATAACAAAACTTATTATGGTCATGTTTACATTTGCATTTCTAGTGAGAAGTCATGCCTGAAAACATTTACATTTAGTTGTACTTATTGTGCTTGTGCACCCCTGTTGATAAACACCCTGGGCAAATGCCCATATGGCCAATTTTAAGTATTGCCACTGATGAGAGGACTATTTCTAAAAGAGCTTCACTCTTCTTAAAGGCATGACTTGCTTGGCTTAGATGTTTTGTGAATTTGCAGACTGTGGTTGATGGCTGAGGAAATCCACCTGCTGACTAAGAGCTATCTCAGAACAGACAGAACTGAAATGAGTATTTCTGATCTCTTTAACACAATCTTAGAATTTGCTAAAGTTCATCTTTCAGGGTATGCAAACAGTTTATTTTATTCTTTAGCATCACAAGGAATAATAAGTCTCAATGTCTACACATTCATTTAATCTTCATTTGGATCCAACTTAAACCAAACATGACAGAGACACTGGCTACTGCCCTCTTCTGGCCAAGGACGGTTAGTTCAGTATATCAGTACATCCTTAACCTTTATCAAATGTTGGGAAAAGACTGATACAAAAACAAAACAGTTTGAAAAATATTGATCAATCTTTTGGTAAGAAGTTTAGATTTAAATACATGCAAAGTTTGCAAGGAACTTTTTTATAAAATGGATGATGAGAGTCGCATTGCTTGGACGGCATGTAGTGTGATTCTATCCACTACTGCAAATCCACTCTGGGAAAACCATAGTTTGGATGTCAGGGAAAACCATAGTTTCAATAGTCCAGAAGTAAAATGCTGTGAACCAAAATTCACTGAGCATGATATCGTCCACATTCAGCTGATGATGGAAACATTTGGTTAAAAGCCACTAATCCACTATCTGGCATCAATGTTGTTTATGATGCTAAAGCAATAGCTATGCCTTCAAAGCTACAAAATAAATTTTCCATCATTAAGTATTGCGTACGTAGAGTTTATAAGTCCTTCTAATGAGATTCCAAACATCTGATTGCTGTCGGCGTTGAGTAAAGCAGCTACTCTTTCTTCACTTATGAGTCAGACAACTATGGCAATTGATAGTTGCGAAAACACAGCCGGGTGGTGGAAGCTTAAGTTTCATAAATTAAGACTGTTATTAAGATGATGCTGTATTTATACTCCAGGTAACAGTGCAAGAGGCATGTTTGTAAAGCAGCAGGCTAAACCTGAGAGAGGTCAACAAATTATATCAACTTATACTTTCAGAATTGATCTATAAACGACAAAAACGACAATACGATGTAATGTTTTTATTAATAAGCTAATTTTGTAGGTTCTTCTACAGTTTCCTCAAGTTTGTGTTAAAATCTAAAAAAGGTAATTTTCACAAAAGGTGGTAATAAAATACATAATCATGCCTATTATGGGTTAGTTCCTGGTGGTTTTCTTTGCATTTTTCTAATGTATTTATAGAAGTCTTTGAGACACTAAAAGGCCAAATTACATATAGACGTGCCAATTTGAAGCATTTTAAAGACAATAGGAAGTGCACAATGCTGTAAAACAGGATTTTGCTCGCTTTCAACAGGATTCCTATATCAGATTAAGAGAAAGTATTTAACAGCACTTTTAAATTCCATTTGCAATAAACAATGTAATATTGTCAAAATTCAACACCCGAGGGCCGATTTGGGTTATTGTTGAGGACAAGCTTGGGTGCTGCTGTTATTCATGCTGATGCTACTGTGACACGAACCATCCACCTACACTGTGCTGCAGACCAAACACTCCTCCCCATAGCAACAGCAGGATAATAAGCACTGTCACTGTGCAAAGAAACTGCTCACACAGTGTTAAGCAGATGGTCTTAATATTGCAGCTGGGTCATTCATTTACACACAGTTGCAAACATATATTTACATCAATACACACACAGTATGGGCATTTATGGTTCTTGCTTTGAATTTATTCCCATTTTATGTTATAACCCATCTGCTGCCTTTATGTGTTTACAATATCATAGTCCTGAATGTTCTTTTGTACCTCATGATGCGTTTATATCCAACAGGGAACTTCGAAATAAAAGCATTAAAGTGAACCTGTATGTGGTGAATGAGCGCTGGCTGTTCTCTCTGCTGTGGTGTGCAGGAGCCAGTTCAGTCACTACTAACAACTGCCAGGTGTTAAGCAAAATGGAGCAGCCTGACTGGATCATGGTGAGTGATGTGCACACATAGAGTAACAGTGGCTGCTTGTTTGTTCCTCCCACTCCACTGGTTTAATTGTCAACTGATCATTGAAGACTTTCACGGTTCTGTTTTGTACTGTTTCTTTCTGAACTCTGTGACCCTGGTTTGTATGTTTCAGGCTCCTTCTACTTATATAAAATTATGGATTTCAGTAGATGCTGCATCCATTTTGATAATGATTGTTGTCTTTGTCTATCACTGGTAAGCTAACTACAGTTTATTTTTGTTTTGTTTTTTTATTGAAATTTTTTTTATTTTGAACTAATCTCTTTTGTGTGTGTGGCAGGAAACACAAAAGTTCCCCCCAAAGAGGAGGTAAAGTGAGTTTAAAAAATCAACACATTTTCATATCCTACATATGTAACCATTACTTCATTTAAATATCAACTAATCTACTGCCTGTTTTATTTTAATAAATGAATGTCAACTGATTAAGCTGCAGTTATTAAAAAATATAATCTAAGAAAAACTTGAGCTCTTCTGCCTTCTACCAGTTCTCCCAGTACTAACTGAAGAAATACACCACTAAGTCTGAAACATCCAATCAGAGCCAGGAGGAGGGACTTAGCACTGTCAATCACTCTCATGCTCTTCTCCCCCCTTTGAATGCTGCCTTCTCACCACAACATAGCCTGCTACAAATGCTAAGGCTAGTTAGCATGGCCACCGATGACGGGGGATAATAATTGGTTTCACTGTAATGGTAAGTTGCAGTACACTTAGCAGCGCGTACCTGAGCTTGATTGACATGCTAAGACCTTCCTCCTGGCTCTGATTGGTTGTTTTTAACAAGGAGCGGCGCCTTTTTTGCAGACCGCAGAAGTAGCACTGGAAGGAGGTGGAGCTTGATTTTTTTTCATAGATTATCTATCTTATAACATTCTGTCTCAAAATGGTGACAATTTTAATAAATATGGAAGAAACACATTTTTGTTAGTTACATTCTGCATCTTTAAGCCCAGGTAATATTCCCACCTTAAGCGTACTTAAGCATTTTAATTTTTCTTGTGGCTGAAACTTTTAAATAATTCTCCTTGTCAATAACAGGTATTGATTGATTGTTTTATTTTATCTGTGCCAGGGAGAATCAACGCTTTTGTCGCTGATGGGCTCGAAATCGCACCTTTAGTTTGAACTTTGACAGATTTCAGAACCCTTAAAGCCATCTTGGATCTGTTTCTGGGCCACCACAGCAGCTAAAAGCTTCATCAGGGCTAAAGAAATAACTAAAGTGTCATCACTACAGATTTTTTATTAAGCTGTGAAACAAGAAATAATTTTACAGAAATTTTTGAAAGATTTTCTTTACATATCATGAATATGCCACTGGATGGCATTTGGTTGCAAGGGTTGTTACGTTTAAAGTTTATCTTCTTACTAAATAAAATACAGTGCCTTTGACCTTCCGATTGTATTAAGATCTGAACTACTTTCTCTTTGCACTATATTTTTGTACAATTTAAGGAAAGCTACAAATGAGCCTAAAACGTTTCATAACCTGTTGGATTAGAGTTAAAATGTCCATGTTGTCACCCTGATTCCCCTCTCAGATTTTCAATAAGAGATTCTGGCTGGGTTAGTCTAAAACACTATTATTAATGCCAGTAAAAAAAAAACATGCTGGTAAAATTAAAAGACGACTTTAAACTTAAATCTACCATGGGTATGGAACATTTTTAGCTAAACTACAGCTCCTCTCTGCCATATCTGTAACCTGAGCCAAATTAACCAAAATGCTTGTTGTTTTTTTGAGTGTCCTGCTGTTTGAGTTGTATTCTGTGTGTAATCCCAACACTTTATTCTCAGGGAATAAACAACAACCCAAACTAGATCCATTTTATGAGTTATGAAAGTATGAAAACTACAGAACAGGCAAAATTTCTCCAATATGGAGTTTATTATTTTTGGATGCAATGTTCACCAGATTTTTCAGACATAGAAAACTTACAATAAAACACTTGAAAAATGTTTTTTTCACTTTTCAATGTGGCATTTCTTGTGTAAAATTCAGACAAAAAAAAAAAGAAAAACTGGACTCATTTATTTTGAATCTGATTTACCAGAAATAAAGACATTGTAATAAACCGTGTTCGTTTTCAACCTTTGAATATAACCAGTTTGCAGAGATGTGACTTTTTCTGAAAATTTATAGTGAACTCAGAAAGAATAATGAATCTAGAAAACTGTGATGTACATTCCTTTTTAAAGTGTTTAAAGGTTTAATAACAAGATAATTTGTTTTTGTCTTTTTTTCAAATTTTTTGCACCATATATTAAAGGGAAATAACATTTGTATAATTTTCATTTAAATACATGTTTTACACTGAATTACTGTGCAAAATTTCCATACATTTGGTGGAATAGCTTTTTTAAAATGCTGTTTATATTTTTTAAATGTGGAATTCTACATACTTCTAAGATATGGTACTTGCATAACAAGCCTCTTACAAATTTAAAATAAAATGGAAAATTAATTGATTTAAAGCTTTGTATACAGAGTATGGTGTTTTTCATGCACAGTATTATTTTCTCATGTTGTAAATGTTGTCCTTCCTTATTGAATATTGTTTTTGTTGATACTGTTTTTTTACCTTTGTGTAAATGTAAATGTTCACACTGAACTTGGTGCTGTGACACTAGGATTTCTTGAGCTCTTCTGTGGGGCAACAAAATATTTCTATTTTGTTAGAAAAATAAGTAACATAAAAAATACAAAAAACACAAAACAGTGAATTGGACACCAATACTTACGCCATTTTAAACAATAACCAGATCCTCTGAAATATAGCTATGCACCTTCTGCTTTTTGTAATTTTATTGAAGATCTGGCTATAGTGCTTATTAAAAGTATAATCCAAACATGTTCATTAATGTTATTGCAACTATGTATATAAATATATTTCCAGAGTTGTAATAAAAGTATTTATATTTAATATATATTTTATAAAGCAACATGAATATTAAAAATGGGATAGAGAGCATGACTAGAATGTTAAATTAAACCAAAAGATCCGAGATGTTAGTCCTCGTGCCTACATTACCCAGAATGCAGCGCTGCTACCAACCGTTGTGTGGAGATTTGGGTGTGTTATGCTAGTAGCTGCCATGGTAGCGGCTACTGTAGTCTCCATCCGCTAGCCTCCAAGAGGGATGAGGAACCGGCTAAACAGCACTGGTAAGCAAACTTATTTAAACTACTGACATATTTTATCTGACACTTTAAACCTGTAGTAGTCTACGATTCCACCTACGGTTGAATCACTTGAGCCATTTTACCAGTTAACGTTTTCATTCCTGGAGCTAACCAGCCAGGTTCGTAAAGTCGGTGGAGTTCTCCTTTAAACTGTGATTTATTTCAGCACCACGTTATGCTGCCACAAGATGGCGCGCACTTCAAGAAGATGTTAACGAGTCGACTTCATGTTGGTCAAAATAAAAACCGCTCAGCCCTCCTAAGGCTAATTACCGCGGATGATAGTGGATAAAACATGGTATAGAATGTAAATTAGAGAGTTGACTATGTTTTTTAAACTCTTACGTACGGCTGAGTCAGCGGATCTTTTCCACGATGGCGAGGCAGCGACGCTGAAGTTAGCTTCTGATTCGGATTCAGAGTAAAGGACTATTTCACAAATTTAGAGGAATATGAGAACGCTCAACCCTGTTTTAAAAACTAACTAGTTGACTTGTAAGACCTGGACTATATTTTATTAAGACATCCTTTTGTAAAAGCATTACTCTATTTTGAAATGGCCATCCATGCATATTTGACACCCTCACCACCTCTACACTCATGAAACATTCGATCAATAAAATACAATAAAATTATGCTTTGAATCTGTTTTCAGTGTGTACATGTACTACTAGGTGTAGAATAAATTTGATTTGCTCTGACAGGGTGAAAAAAGTAGACCTTACACCCAGTGATGGTGGAAACATCTGCCTTTAGGTATATGAAATATTATTTACCTTGCTGTATTTGTTTTAATTAAATCAGTTTTACATACAACTTTTAACTATTCCACTCTAACACCTAGTTTGGTAATTCAGAGTTGGACTTGATGGTGTTCTTGAGATATTTGTTCTGCTGCTCCAAGTTGGCTTGAGTGCCTGAACTAATTCTGTTCTGCTAGAAACAGAACCTGTAGTTTTATCAATTATAGCAGCTGGAAATGGCAAAGCACTCCCACACCATCATCGCATCACCACCATGTTTGACTGTGTTTTAATGCTGTGCTTGTTTTATTGAGGATGTAACAGGACGCAGACTTTCTAAAAGGTTAAACTTATGTCTTGTCAGTACACTGAATATTTTAAGTCTTGGTCATTAAGATGTGTTGTGGCTAATGTGTCTTTGCCTCTATTGGTTGCATCTGAAACCCATCAATGATTTCCTGGACTTGTTGATGCAATGCTGACAAATGCCAATTACTTTGTTTCTCATTCTGTTTTTAAATGTTTCTAAAGCAAGGCATTCGAGATCTTTTGAACTGCGTTTCACCAGTGTGGTCTGTGAATCTGCAGATTTTCAGGCCAAGCTTTGGGTAGTAAACTCTGCTTTCAAAAAAAATCAATAATTGATTGCTCAAGGTTACTTTATGATAATAATTTGAAAGCTGCAATTTCGTCTATTACATATAGATATATTCTGTTGTGACAACAAAAGCACTGACATTATTGTAAAGGACATTTACTTGTGTAAATTTATATTGTCCAGGTTAGAGAACTATGAATGATTCAGATTCATAGGCAGCTGTGCTTTCAAATTAAAAACACAAATCAGAGGCGAACTTCGGCATCGTGGCGAGGCATGTGTCCAATGGGAGGAGTGACGTGACATGGACTAGGGGCCGATTTGCCCAAAACTTCTGGGAAAGTTAACATGAAGTAAACAGACTCACCCAGGCACATCCCTGCTTCAGTCAGTGGATCATACTGGTAAAGTCAGTTTGGCAAACTGGGAGTGGATTTTGAACTGGAGATGTAACTTTTATTTAAAAAAGCGCAGTGTTTATTTTTGCAATTCTATCTTAAAACCAAAACATCTTTCGTATAAATGACGTTTCAAGTCGCGCCCTCCATGGTGCATAAATATGGTAAGTACTTCTCCATCTCTGTACTTGGTGTTTCCTGTAAGTTTGTGTTACTTTTTCAGGTTCGCATTGCGATCGTTTTTGTCTTTGTCTCTCTAATCTCAGCTGAAATCTCTGGAGCAACCCGAATTACTATTTATGGCCCCTAGAGGTTAAAAAGAGGGAGAGAAAAAAAAAATCTCGGGGACTTCCACTTCCGGACTGGGAATGATTTCTAACGGAGGTTTTTTTTGTGTGTGTGTCTCGATCAGTGTTCAGGCTCAGGTATTGCAAGCAGATTTACCTTCGTGATGTGCATCATCTCTCTGCCCTCACCACCCACCGAGTTCAGCAACAACACAGAGCTGCCTGCCTGAAATATATGCAACTTATTTCTGTCAGTGACAAAAATATAAATGTTTCCCTTTCGGGGTTTCTTTCCCTCAGCTTAAATGCAAGTTTACCGCATTGTAGTACAATAAACAAAAAACAATATGACTGGAGAATACAGCTGGAGTGTATTTGAAAATAAATACAAATGTATGACTTTTTTTTTATAACTGTAGTCTTTTAAATGCTAAAATTTGCACATAATTATTTATTTTTGTCTGTGCTGATATCATTTTTAAATATTAAATTATATATTGTGATCGCAATACTGGATTTTTAAAATTTAAAACAGCTTCCCAAATTTTGAGCATCTTAATACATCATTAGGAAATGGAAAAGACTTCAGCTCAACTGCTCAGCTAAAGAAACATGCCTGTCTGTATAAGCCCTGAGGCCTGGCAAGATAATCAGAGAGTCATCTAAGAGATATTCTAAGAGGCTCCTGGTATCTTTGGAGGAGCTGCACAGATATAAAGATTAGGTAGGAGAATCTGTCAAGAAGACAACTATTGGTAGAACACTACAAATCTTAACACCTATGGAAGAAAGCACAAAGAAGTTATGTTTGCTACCAGCAAGAAGGTGCTTTGATAAGATGAATTCAAAACTGAACTTAATTGAAACACATTGTCTATGGAGAAAAGCTAACACTGTAAATAAGCATATTAAAGCAGGAGGACTCTGCCCAGCCTGACACCAAGTTCACACTTCGCTGGATATTTGGGGAAACAAATACATTTTGATGTGTGTTTTGCCATTCATCCACACGGAAACTCAGTGTAATATAACTAGAAATATTATTTATAAGACCTCTGACCAAAACCAAGATTTGAGAAAACTCGTATTTGTGCTTTCATAGGAAAGTAAAGACCAATGCATTAGTCTGCAACAAATAATGTACTGTATCCAAATACTCACTTTGATATGTTTGCCAATCAACTTTGCCTTGTGTTTTATTAACTTTATATCATTAGTACACAATTTAAAGATAGTTCCACTCGTATATCTTTCCACTTAAATGAACCTCTTGTCTCCATGTTTAATTCTTACGGGGAAGTTGTAGGTTTTAAGCAATTTGATTGGATGGCATAGGTTTTAGTTTAGGGTTTGGCATGTTTAACACTCAGGGGCAGATTGTGTTGATTTATCGGTATAAAAACTTCAGAAACTGATCCTGTGTGTACAATATATGTATATTTTTAAACCAATGTGGCAGAGATATTCAGCAAAGATATGCAATGCTGGTAGAGACAAACCAATAATTGCAAAAGAAAAAAAAATTGTACTACAATGTATGGAGTCAGAGTGATGAACCACACACGCATAATTGTTTTTCCTTTTTCAAATATACCCTCCTTCCTGTTCGTTTGTCATAAAACCTCAGTAAAATACAGTGTTTGTATTGTGAGAAATTATGAACACTTCAATTTAAAAGTGCTCTTAAGAAATGCATGTTTTGTGATGCAGACACAGAGAGGGCGGTGGAGCTCCTCAGACAATACCAGGCCAACCTGACCAGCCCAGAGGAGCAGGCCTTGAAGACCAGTGTGGGCAAAGTGTCTGCCATCTTGGGCAGCCAGCTTTTCCAAGCTCTTCTCGGTAAGGAAAACAACACAAAGCAGTGTACTTTGACACTATTCAAGTCTTTCCAAACTTTACTCTTTAGCTGAACTTACAGCTGTTTCTCAATATGGACTTTTTAAATGTGGACAACTTATTTAATTTGTGCAGCTGTCGGCAAACCGAAAAGAAGCAAACAGGGTCACATTTTATTCATTTTTATGGGACGTTAACTGAGTCCACACATTTCCCAATTAAGCTTTATGAAAGAGGCCTTTCAGTGTCCCCCACAAAGGTTTGCTCTGTGCCAACCCCCAACTTTGTAGCATCCTTGGATTTTAACAAAACCCTACGAAAGCCAAAAGCAGTTTATATATACACTAATTGGTATTAATCCAGGACATTCTGGTACATTTCTCACACCGAATTGACCATATATTCTCTTTTGTACGGTATGCTTTGTGAAACTGAACTCACTTGAGTCTTCCATTAAGTTTTCATAATTGCTGTTGTCATTGTTGGTAATGCTAATCCTAAAGTGTTCTCATATAAAGATCTGCTGTAACCACCTACACCTTCATGACTAGTTTTTTTGGAAAGAAAAAGAGCTTGAGGGTTCAGAGTGAATCTAGCTTTCCTTTTTCTTTCTTTCTTTTTTTTGTAGAGCAGATAAAACACGTTGCATCCTTTTAACCAATGGTTCAGTGGTCCCTCTAATTACCACAGCCATGTTATAATGATCCTCGCCCTCGGCTCTGCTATTG